CACCACACCCTGCCCTTAACTCTGGGAACAGAGCGGGGTGGTGCTACATGGGCAGGCTTAGGGAGGTAGACAGAGTCCTTTTCTAGGATCAGAAGAAACAACACAGCGGCCGTGGCCACATCATCTGCTCTAGGCCTCAGTGTCCCCAACTAGAAAGGGCATCCATCCGGTCAGGGAGTACAGGTTTTAGGTGGTGCTGGGTATTTTATGGAGGAAAGGACTGGAGTGCCGCTGTCTGCCCCTCCCTTTCCAGGGGCTCCCGAAAGGTTTCTTAGGATTCCAGTTGATTGCTGGGATCAGGCTGGGTGGGGACAGTATTGTTTGTCTGGGAGGAGCCTGTTGGCTTGGCTTTAAGCCAAGGGGAGGGTAGAAGCTATTTCTGGCAAAGCCTGAGATGGGTGAAAAATGTGGGGGCAGGAGGTGTGGGGCACTTGGAGAAGAAACCCGAGCTGGGGCCTGGAGCCCAGGGTCTGGGAAGCAGGGGTGGTGTTGCTGGATGAGGCTTTGGGTGAGGCCTGGGCTGGCAGCTGGGAGAGGAGAGGGAGGACAGGAATGTCCCTGCTCCCAGGCACCTGTCCTCGGGCTGGTCGACCTTTGACCCCACCCCACAAACACTCTTGGAAAGGAAGCAAGGCAATAGCACCTCCTGCACTGTGGTGGCAGTGCTCGAGGTCCTCCCCGGGGCCAGAATTCTTGGAGTGAGTCCAGTCAGGTTGCACAGATGTGTGAATGGGCACCAAGGGGGACTCTGAGAGGTGCAGGGACCTCCAAAGACAGACAGTGAATGACGGGACCATGGTCAGTATCTGAGTGCTGAGCTTAGGGCGCAGAAATAATCACGATACGGGAATGCATCAAAAATTCAAGTCAGCCTGGACAGTTTAGCAAGACTCTGTCTCAAAACTGTCTTAAAGGGCTGGAGATGCAGCTCAGTGGTAGAACATCCCTGGGCTCCAGCCCCCCATAACAGCCAACAGACATGCTGGGTAAGTCAGAGGCTGGTTTAAGGAAACTCAGCCACCATGAGGAAGGGTGGCAGGAATCTGGAAAACCAGGCTGTAATCTGGACCCTGAAGAGTCTATGCAAGTTGGAACAGGATGAAATGTGCAGGGAAGGGTTTTCCAGGGTGAGGGAACAGCAGAAGTAAAGGCATAGAGGGAAGTTGGGGTACATTTGGGACAGGATCTCTGCCAGCAGTTTGTGGGTCCTGAGCAATGGGCTGAGGATAGAAGCCCTGCATTTGCTGAGAGCTGATGAAGCCCCACCTCCTTCTGTAGTTTCCTGGGTGGGGGAGGGGCACACAAAGCCCAGCAGCCCGGGGGCCCCCAAGACAGGACTGGAGGACACAGGGGCAGGAAGCCCTGCTCCTCGTGGACCTATACTGAGTGTCCCTCTGTGGCTTAGGCGGCTGTGGATGGACAGGAAGCGGCCATTGCTTCCGTGAGCTGCAGAATGGCCTCTGTGTGCACCACAACAAAAAGGCTTTTCTGCCAAGTCAGAGGGGGAGGAAGCCGCCAGCTCAGCCCCGCCTTGGCCTGAAAGGAGGCTCTGTTGGGGTCCTGGATGCACAGAATATACGGAACAGGGGACAGGGGCCTCCTCCTTGCTGTCTGATTCTCCTGCAGCACCAGGTAGGGTGGGGTTGGGCTGCTGAGCAAGTCCCCCTGATCCCAGCATGAGGCTTCCCTTGCTGTGTGACCTTGGTCAAGTCACTTCCTCTGAGCCCCACTTTTCCTCCCAAGTAAAATGTGAGTGGGAACATGCTAGTTGGCAGGGTGCAGTCACACTTTGCCTGTGCCCAGTGCCAGGCCTGACAGCCTCCCAGCCCCTATTCATATGAGACAGCCTGAGTTAGGTCAGGTCACTCTCTCCACTGTAGTGCTGGTATTGCAGATTAGGGTGCAAGCTCTGGATGTTTTACACTGCAACGCCAAGCTACACAAGTGTGGAGAAGACAGGTTGGAAGGAAATGCCAAGTTATTTTTGTTTTTTTGGTTTTTTGAGGCAGGGTCCCATTATGTAGCCCAGGCTCGGACTAGACTTGAGGCCTCAGCCTCCAATGTACTGGGATTATAGGGTACACCACCACGCCTGGCTAGAAATGCCAAACTGTTGACACTGACCGGCAGAATCGTGCTGACTTCTGTTTTTCTTCTTGTCCATCTTTAATGTTTTGATTTTCCTGCTTGGGAATTAGCAAAATGTAAAGGAAAAAAGGTGTTGAGGGAATGGAGGCCACAAGGAGTCCCATAGGTTTAAAGACAGAGACTTCTGTTAATCCTGGGGAGGAGGTAGGGTAAGGTCCCAGGAACCGTGGGCTGTGGCCAAGCTGTTGCATCCCTCTCTCCCCCATCCCCAAGAGGATAGACAGGGCGCTTCCCACAGCCTGTCCTTTGGACACTGGGTTTCTCTGGGGTTGCAGCTGGGAGCTGGGGGTGGAAGGCTCAGGCGGCTTCCTGAGGAGCTGAGGCCTCTGCCCAAGTCCCTTCTCTGGCCTTGACTCCGAGAAGAGTGCAGTGAGGGAGGTCTCATCCTCTCCGCCCTCTCACGTTGCCCTCTACCTGCCTGGGGACCTCTCAGCCTCAGGACGGCCCTAGGGCTACGGGAAGAAGGCAACCCTGGGTGGGACCCTGGGCATCTGCAGCAGGAAGGCTGAGAAGATGCCAAAGCCCCGTGGTGGGGGAGCTCACAGGCCACTTCCCAGATGAGCTGAGAAGCTGTGGGCTTCCTAGCGCCAGAGCTTCCTACACAATTCCCACACAAAGAGAGGAAGGGGTGGGATCGAGGGGACCGGGGAGGACTGGGGCGCAGAATAGATTGTGGGACCCTGTGGAAGACTTGTGGGGGCCCAGCCTGCTCTGTGATTGGAGCAGGCCTTCTCCTAGCTGACCTTTGCATTCCAGGGGACCCAGCCTAGCAGCTAATAGGTGTGGTTAAGAACATGGGTGTGGTTCTAAGGCTGTCCTCCCAGCCACCAGCTACTGCCACCCACGCACAGGGATATCATCACTTTGGTCTCTGCTTCTGAGGTGGCACCATATGCAGCCCGAGCAGGCCTGTGGTGGGATTTTCTGCATCTTCCAAGATGAGACGTAGATCTTGGTGTCCCACATCACATCCTGAACAGAGTGTGGTCAGAGGAACTCTTGGAACTGAAGTGGCCTCATTTCCCAACTCTCTTTGTGCCCAGCTGTGGGCTCTTTTCCAAGACAGCTCTCAGGCTGCCCAGAACCCAGTCTGGGTCACTGGCCTGGCTTAGCTCTTCCAACCCCTCCTAGAACTGGAGGGCATGGGGGAAGCTTCATGGTCTTTTCTCATTACCAACAAATGGCAAATAAATTCTGTACTCTTCCCTGCCCCATCTAGCAGGCTGACCTGCCGCTTCCTCTTGTGGTCTGGTGAGGGAAGCTGCCTCCCTCCTCCCCCAAGCTCTGACCATTCAGAAGGAGCCCCACTGACCTGAGAACAAAGTCTCCTTCATAGGTGGGCAGGTGGCCCCATCCTAGCTTGGACTTGAACCCCTGCCACTCGCGTCCCCTTCTGGCCTCTCACAGACAAGGCCACACTTGCCGGCTGTACATTTAATCAGTGCAGATTATTTACAGAAATAAACAGATAGGGGTGGACACCAGGCCCCACCCCCACCCCTTGCTGGTTCTCCAGTTTTGCAGAAGTGGTGACTAGGGGGAGCCACTGGACCCACACTTGGCCAAGTGATGAGAGGCGGGGAGAGCCTCCTGCCCTAGTGGCCTTGGGGGTCCTGAGTGGCACAGCCCACTAGCACAGGGCTGCAGGGAAGCAGGGGGGATGGAGCCGGCTATACAGTACCATTTCCCACAGCAGCCTCAGCCTCCTGCTGACTTCGGGAAAGAGAAGAGAAGGGAGCCTCTCTGCTCACCCTCTCGGGGGGGTGCGGGCAGGAAGAGGGCTCTCCCAGGACACAGTGGTCTCCTTTAGGGCTTCCACAGGCTGCATGGGGAGACGAACTGCTGGCCTATTCCCAGCAGTCTCCAGGGAGAACAGGGAGCTGGAGAGGAGGCAGCCCCCAAGCGTGGCATGTGTGGCACATGAGGGGAAACCAGTCTGGGCACCAACCAACCCCCTTCCTCAAGGATCAGGACAGAGGCAGCAGAAGCCTGAGGCTGGGCAAGCTCCAAGACCTCTGAGGACAGTGGCAGGAATGGGGAGGGTGGGAGGAGGCCCATGGAAGAGCAGGTAGGTCACCGCTGACAGAAGGAAAGTCTGGGCAGAGGTGATGCCAGGCCAGTGTTTGGGGAGGGCATTAGCGGGCTCCCTTTGGTCCTTGGTCAGGAAGGCCCAGGCCTCTCCACAGACAGGGAGGGAAGCACGGGCTGAGGGTTAGGTGGGAGCTGCCCGCTGGCTAGATGGGGTGGGGTTCTCAGGCTCGGAGCGGGGTTACTGTCAGAAGCGGGCTGGGAAGGAAGAAACCAAGCCTCAAGGGGTCCGGCCTCCCCTGAAAGGGGCTGGCCCTGGGTGACAAGCTCTTCCTAAGGCAGATAGACTCCGAAGGTTGGAGACCCAGCTGGACTCCTTTAGGCAAACATAGTGCCCTGGTTATGCGCTGGGGCTCAGGCTCACAGCCTGAAGAAGCTCACAGCCCTGTGTCTCCTTCTAGAGATGGGCCTCTGACTGTCCCTTGTTCTGACTATGGCCAAGCCACAGGTGGATGGGGGCCTGATTTCCTCTCTCGAGCAGAACTGCATTAAGAAAATTTAAGCAATCTGCTCTGGTCAGGAAAGCAGGAACAAGGTGCGGAACTAAGGTGCCTAAAAAAAAAAAAAAAAAAAA